TATGTTACAACCTTAGTTGTGGGTCGGCATAGCCACCATCCCATGCGGGAGTTGAACCAGCAGCCTTGTTCTTAAGAGTGCACGCTGTATCCACTGAGCCATCCAGGTGGCAGCTCAGCTCAAGGTGCCGAGTTTAGTTTTAGTTGCAGGCGGGCGTGGCCCACCATTGAACAGGCAGTCTTGTTGTTAGGAGCACATGCTCTCACCAGCTGAGCCATCCTGCCACCTGTTGGCACTTCAGCAGCAGCTCAGCTCGGGCACAGCGTCACTGGCCCATGTGGGAATTGAACTGGCGGCCCTGTTGCTCAGAGCTCGTGCTCTTAAGCTAACTCTTAACCAACGGAGCCACTTGGCTGGCCCAGGGAATCACTTTTTTATTATATAAATGTCTAACCACTATGCTGTACACCTGAAATTAGTAAAAAGTAATATTAAATATCAGCTATAATTGGAATAATTTAAAAGTTGGGAAAAGGTGAAAGGGAATAAGAGGTACAAATTTCCAGGTATAAAACAAATAAGTCATGGGGATGTAATGTACAGCATAGGGAATATAATCAATAATATTGTGATAGTGTGGTAGGATGTCAGATGTTTGTTGGACTTGGACTTATCATGGTGATCACTTCTTTAGATATATAAATGTTGAATAACTATGGTATACTCCTGAAACTAATATAATATTGTATGATATATATATATATATATATATATATATATATATATATAAATTTTAAGATTTTATTGGGGAATTGGGGAGGGGAACAGCATTGGGGCATTGGGTATCAGGGAAGGAGAACAGACAAGTTGCTGTCCTTTTGTTCTTCAGTCTAGTTGTTGAGGTTTTGCTTCACTGGCCCATGTTGGTATTATCATTGCGCTCTTCCTGGGTGAGGCAGATCGGTCGCTGGCCACTGGACAGCCACTCATGGCGGCTCTTTGCAGCTCACACCAGCTGCCAGCCGCTTACGCTGGCTGCCAGCCACTAATGGTAGCTCATGGCAGCCCACTGCAGTCCCACTGCAGCCTACGCCGTTGCCAGCGACTCACGGCAGCCCCGCTCCAGGTTGAGCTGTTGTTCACCATCTTAGCTGTAGAGGGCGCAGCATCACTGGCCCTAATGTGGGATCCAAACCGGGGCCCTGCTGCTCAAAGCTGGTGTCCCAAGCAAACACTTAGCCAATGTGTCACTCGGCCAGCCCATATTTTCATAAAAAATCTTATTAAAAAATGACATCCAAAAAAAGGCACAGTAGTACTGTACTTCTATGTTTTTTCCCTAAAAGTTTCTGGGTAGAGAATGGAGGGAAGAAAGGAGAGACATAGGGGAGGTTCATTCTGAAACTTCTGAGGACAAGATAGAGAATTCATTCAGGTGAGCTTTTGAAATCCTGCTTTGCCTTTCCTTTATACAGTTGGCTAATTCAAGCAGAGGGCCAGCAAGCTTTAGTGAAAGAGTAGCTCAAAGTCCACACCCAATATCCTATGTGCCAACACTACTGGAATACAAAAAGAATAAAACAGTTGAGTTCAGGCATTTCAGTCTACCTAATACAATACTTGCCCCCACTGTCATCCACCATTACTCTTCTTTGGTAAGTGATTAAGATTTCTAATGGCTTCCCTTTGTAGAAAAAACGGATAAAAACAATAAACCAGTAAGACTTGGAGTGTTTTTTTGTATCATACACTCTACATGGAGTGGGATGAATACACCTAGCTTTGATATGGCAAGACTTACTGAAAATTTCCGTTTTAAAAAAGGCAGATACCTCATGTTTCCAAATTATGTACTTCTATTAGTTTATTCTTTCACTTAGGCATGATAATAATTTGGCACTAACTTTGAATTCTCAAAACGCAAGTTTTTCTATTGAGCCCTGGACATCAAACATTTCAAATAGAACCCAGCCTGATTATTTGGTACTATTTCAGCAGTATTACTAACCTACTGATTATCTCAGGCAAGACTAAACTTTGCAAAGACTTTCCCCCAGCTGACTGCAAATATTAGGTATAAGCAAGTTCTTCCTAGGACATTTATGGTCTCCACAGTCTACTTTCCTGTTAAATCTTTGTAGTCATCTGGAAGTTTGTAACTGGCTTGGTGACGACACCTTATTTGATAAGAATTTCAGAGCCTGACATTTTTCTTAAATAGAATTGGTAGCCACTAATTCCTTGGAGAGTATCCTTCAAAATCTCTAGGCCGTTTTCAACAGTCAGACCACTAGAGTGACATAAAGGTGTTGAACACTGATACTGAGTAATCCAAACCAGTTTCTCCCCAAAGGCTTTTGTGCTAGTCCCTAGTTGTGACAGAGGCTGCTCTCCTGGGAAGAAGCCATGTGCATGCATCTTCACTGCAGCAGTATCAGCTGAGTACAATATTATTATAACTGTGAAGAATGCATAGAGCCAACTGCACTTTTGGACCCAAGGATGTTGATGAGTACTGTTGCACATTCTGCAATATCTGGGGATATGTTGCTGCAGGCACTTAGTGTATGTTCCTGCATCACCATCACTAAGTCACCCACAGTGCCACCTGATGGCTATAGTCACTGCTGCTATCATTCAACCTGTTGGATTTTCAGGGACATATTCTATATCGAGACAGATGTTCCTCTTCCAGGATCTTCATATTTTTCAAACTTCATATTTTCAAGTGAATTTTGACACAACCTATTAAAGTGATCAGAAGCTGGAATATCTTAAATAATTTCCTGATACCCTATTCACTGTGTTGGTGAGAGAGATCTTTGCCTATGTTTGTGATGGGTGATTTCTACGAGGTTTGACAATTAGGTTCGCAAACTTGCTGCAGTGATGTTGCTAACCTTTTTTGATATCAGAGGGACTAGTCATTATGAATTTGTACCAACTGCACAGTTAACCAAATTTACTATTTGGAAGTGCTGAAAAGGCTGCGTGAAAAAGTTAGACAAACTGAACTTTTTGCCAACAATTCATGGCTCTTCTCTCATGACAATGCACCAGCTCACATGGCACTGTCTGTGAGGGAGTTTTGAGCCAGTAAACAAATAACTATATTGGAACACCCTCCCTGCTCACCTGATCTGGCCCCAGTGACTTCTTTCTTTACCCAAAGATAAAGGAAATATTGAAAGGGAGACATTTTGATGACATTCAGGACATCAAGGGTAGTACGGCTCTGATGGCCATCCCAGAAAAAGAGTTCCAAAACTGCTTTGAAGGGTAGACTAGGTGCTGGCGTCAGTGTATAGCTTCCCAAAGGGGAGTACTTCAAAGGTGACTATAATGATATTCTGCAATGAGGTATGTAGCACTTTTGAGAATGTGTTCGCGAACTTAATTGTCCAACCTTGTATATTTGAACCTGTTCCTTTGATTTGAAAGACATGTAGTTATGTGGTCTCTCTAGCTAGGGACTTTCCCCAGACCACTGAAATGTTAAATTTTTGCTACTGAGAGATTCATTATAAATTCCATGTACACATTATTTTGCAATTATTATCTTAAAAACCCTTCCCAAAATTTCTTAGTAAGACAAATCAGCTCTATGATGTAAGCATTATGGTAATGCTGTCATCAAACTGTTGCTTGTATTTGTAAAACTTTTTTTTATCAGTTACTGCTGGTGTGTTCGTTACGAGTTGTTTTTAAATAATTGAATAACTTCATGTTCTAATGTCAGATAAAGCTGGGTCAGTGATCAGCCTTAATTAAATATGTTTGTGACTCAGAGTATCAGGAATTAGCATACAGTTGTTTGAAGGTCCTTTATTTTGGTTCCTTAAAGGTGAAATGAAAACCTTTCAGTGTGTAAGTCTAAAGAAGCAGGGGGATAGACATCCAGCTCTTCATGGTGATCCTGAACAACTGCTGAAAGCACAAAGTCTGCCTAAATTTAAGGTCAAGCCAGATTGAATTGTCTACTAAGAGATCCTGGGAAGGGGTTTTCACTGCCTGTTGTTACCATGCATCTTTTCATTTAACGGTGACCCAGCAATATCCCATTTAAGGCCACAGAATAAAGTTCATGGAGCAAACAGAGGTAGGAGTAAGGAGGAGCCGACCTTAAACACAGTACTTCTTTACAATTAAATATTGTTGCATAACACATACCTTCCTAAAATAAAAAACTGCAGGATAATACAGTTAACAAAAGTTCCAATGGAATAAATACAGTATTTTCTGAATTAAATGACAATTCTAATTTTCCTCATCCTTTCTCTGCCAGCTCTTTTTTAGCACCTTCTGTGGCCTGATTTCTTGGGTGCAGTTGGAAGAAAGGAGGCTTGGGAAAGGGGGACACACAGCCTAAAGTGAAACGGAATAAGTCACAGGAAACCTGCCTCTGGGAGCATTTCCACATCTTCGTAGCTCATCACCTTCGTTCTTCCCTAGTCTACCTCTTGTCGGGCTACCCTGGTCTCCCTACTTCAGTCTCTGTTCAGGGAACTGAGGCAGGGTGACCTCTTACGTTTACTGGACACTGCAAAGACAGTGCCATTGCTCTCCTAAGATCACAAACCACATGCTTTAAATTCCCGTTGACATGTCAAAGGCAGTAGGTCTGGCAATCCAGAACCAAGGAGAATATGTTTTGTTGTTTTCCCCTACTTCCCTCTCATAGAGTTTTGGGTCCATACTTTTAATTTAGAGGTTAGCATCTTAGTAGGCAGTCAACTGAGGACATGCTCTTGCAGGAATGGAACAGATAAGATGCGGACAGTTGTGCTGGAGACCAAAATCACTAATATGGTAGCTGGTGGGCACCATTTTATATCTCCTCTAACTCCTTGTCCTAGGAGTTGCTTTAGGTTCATGAGAGCTGCTTGGAGGTGGGAAAGTCATGAGAATTAAACATTTGAGCTAGTGAATTTGTCACCATTAATCTAAGATTTCATAAAGAAAATGGAATTTTAGAAGTAGTCTAAGCATATGCTAATGAATCAATTTATTACTGAGTAATTAACCAATTTAATTTAATGATGTCCATATAATGTGTTTAGGTATATTGCCAACTGGAAGGAAATTGCTACAAGCAACTCTTCAGCTAACTGCAAAAGTAGGTGATTTTTAGCAATATTTTATGGGAAATTCTTGTGAACAAAAATGACGCATTCCACACGTGCTCATTTCTAAGAATCTAACATTTCAGTACCCTGCACAGCATACTGACATAGATAAATGTACCAAGTCATTTGTACCTTTATAGGTAAAACTGTTAATTGGGAATAGGAGGAAATTTTCTATTTTACATAGGATTGGATAAAATTTTTTTGTAATGAATCCTTTTTAAAGAAAGTTGCATATCTCCTGATTTCAGTAATAATTTTTAATGAGCAAACTTCACTTTGCTAAATAAATGCCTCAAAATGTTAGAAATATTTTTTAGCTTCTATGCCACTATTGTCCCATCCGTGGTCCACAATACTGAGAAACTGAAAGTGACAGCATGTTGAAGAAGCATATGATCATACCCCAGAAATATCCATAATTCTAACATAGCCAGAATCTACTCATGGTTATTGTATGATCTGAGTGTCTGAGTTCTGTCCTGCTGTCATCCATTAGAGACAGTAAAGCAGAGGCTACAGTTGTGGAGTGTTGGTTCAGACTGCCTGGTTTTAATTTTTGGCTTTACTGTTTACTGGCTGTGTGACCTTGGGCAAGTTACTAGCTCAGTTTCCTCCTCTGTTAAATGAGAATAACAATAGTACCAAACTCATAGGTTGCTGTGAGGTGATAAGGGGCAAAATGTGTAAAGAGCTTAGACTCGTGCCCAGTACATAATTCATACTCTATAATGTTTGCTATCATTAGCCTTAACGTCCCAGTTATTTCCAACCCATGGCCACCAGCACAGTCCAAGCTGCCATCATCCCCCTGTAGGCTTCTGACAGCCTCCAAACTGATACTCCTCCAGTCCACTTCCCACACAATGGAGAGTGATCTTTTACGAATTTAAATCAATGCAATGCAAACACTTACTTAACAAACTCTTCTTTAGCAGTAACTATACATAAGTGCTGTCTTAAAGTGCTTTATAAAATTTAACTCATTTGATCTTCAGAAAAACCCAGTGAGTCAGGTTTGTTTATCTTCATTTTACAGACAAACAAATGCCAAATGCCGTTACTTGCTGAAGGTCTCATGGTTCCTGTGAGGGACTGAGGCAGGCTAGCTGGCTGCAGAACCCATGCTCTTCACGAGGACTGCCTCTGCTGCCTCTCGTAGTTTACCGGTGTGCTTGGAATCACTCTACCCTGGCCTTCTGGCTCTGCCCTGGCTTGGCTTCTGCCCTTATCATGTCCCACTCTCCCCGTCACTCACAACAATCCAGCCATCACTGGCCTCTTGCTTGTTCCTCGAATACTCTGTGGTTTCCACTTTGGGGGTTTAATGGAGTTGATGGCCTTCTAGAGAACAGTTTTAGTAACTACCTTCACTTGAGGGTAGGGAGTTGTCTGTTTTGTTTGCTACAAAGTCCCCAGTGTGTAGCATGTAGGGGTTCTCAATGATGGAGAAAAGAATATAAGGGAATGAAAGTACGAAATGGAAGAAGAGAATATAAAATACTGAGTTAAAAGAGATGATAGGCAGACCTTGGAAATACTGCAGGTTTGGTTTCAGACCACCGCAATAAAGCAAGTATCACAATGAAGCAAGTCACAATCTTTTTGCTAGTGGAGGGTTTTGCCTTCAATTTGTAAAACACCCAACGTCTGTGAAGCACAATAAAAACAAGGTATGCCTGTACTGCGGAAAGATGGAAAGCTGTAGGATGGTAATTGGAAGTAGCACAAAAACAAATGAAATAATTTTAAGCAGTGCGGTTTGCATTATAACTGGTCAGTGGAAGGCGATACAATGAAGATGTTGGCACTGGAGAAGAGGCGAGAATGTGCCACTTCTTCAAGAAGCACAAAGAAATCTAATCCAGAGATTTGGAAACTAGCTCTGGAGAGAGAAAAGGCTTCTCTTCATTTGTGAGTAAAGAACTGTGAATTAATAGTCAATTATGAAGCACTAACTCAATGCTAAACTAAGTTCTTTACATGCACCATCACACTTCCCACAAAAATGAGATTAGGTGTGTGCTAGTATTATCCCTATTTTATAGATGAGGACACTGAGGCTGTTAAGTAACTTGCCCCAAATTACACAGCTAGTTAGTAACTCAAACCTCAAACCCAGGCCCTACAGAGCCTTTGTAGAGATGGATAATGAAATATGGTGAGAAAAGGAGGATGAACTCAGAACTTTGGGACAAGTATGGTTTCAATTCAATAGGATATGAAGATAGTGCTCTGAGAGTGGTGAAAAACAGGGTGGATGGACCGTAGCCTGACATGTAGTAGCAGACTGAATGAGTCTGTGTCTTATTACATCTGGCATCTTCCTAAACATTTGTCATTCCTCTCTAGGTTTCAGGTTTGAGCAAGCACAGAAAAAAAAAATATGACTATACTATGTCAGAGGAAATGGGAACACCAAAATATCCTTCATATGAAAATATTCATGAAGAAATAAATTTTACTAGATTAACGCCTGATTCCACTTATGAAATATAAATGTAAAGTACTTTCTTTTTTGAGCTATAGCCCTTCACGCCCTGATTCCAAGAATTATAGTCAAGAGATAATTTACTGACTGGAAATACTTGTATATTCTTGGCACAGAACCTGCCCAATTAAGGAAGAAAGATTAAACAAATAGAACATCGGATTGAATACAGTGGTCATAGGAAATGTAGAAATTATTCCTGGCCTCCTGAGAAATTGTTGTATTATCACAGTCACACTTAAATATATACTTAGGGCAAAAAAAAAATCTTCTGATTGTTTTTCTTCTTTATTTGTGCAATCGTGTCAGGGAGAGCTCTTTTGCCATCAGAAAAGCAAAAAGGGTAGTGTAGCAAGTTCTTCTTTTATTTGGAAAGCAAAAGCCTTATAGAAGCCCCAGCCCATCACCTGAGGCCTCCTTGAACAAAACTGGGTCACAGGGGCACCCTTAGCTAAAGAAGCCAGAAAAGTAAAATCTTTCAGCTTCCACAGTGGGAGAAATAGAGGACTGGAGATGACTGTTGGGTCAAGGAACAGAGTCTGCCACACCCTCCAAGCCTTAATTATTCTGTTTCCATAAGCACCCTCTACTCTGCCCATCGTCACACTTAGCACACTATATCTTTATAAATCTGCCGATAATCCCCAATAGACCATATAGACCAGAGGCTTATATCTCCAAATATTAAAAAAAAAAAAAGCAGTCAGAAGACCTAATGTATATTTAAGGAAAAAAAATCATATTTATTGCAATATACATACAAATTTACCCATTTTGAATGTTCATTTTTAGTTTTCATTTTTTTTTCGATCCCAAAATTTTTTTATAAAATGTGAGTTTTTGACACTTGGAGGATTTCATTCCAAACTCTCAAATATACAATTACCAAAAAAAAAAAAAATCATGTTTCAGGAAAACATACTTAATCTTAACATAAAATTCGTGTCACTTATCACAAAGCTAGACAGTCAAATGTTATAAAGAAGAAACAAAACAGAAGCACTATTTACAAATTTGGGCTAAATGAAACATGCAGAATTTTTTGTTAATGAACAACACAATACAGACTTTTACACACTGCATTTCAAAAACGATGCATCTGTGAACAATAAGATAAAAGTGATAGCATTGAAGACTTTAAATTCAAGGTGATGTTGAAGATTTTAAATTAAATTCAAGGTTGTGGAGTTGAAGGCTAAATTCAAAGTCAAGCTCAGTGATAAAGAGTAAATTCAAGGTCGTAATGATGAAAACTTTAAATTTAAGGACAGATTGTCTAAGAAAGGACAAAACAACTAGCATTCAAGCTCTTTAGTCAGTTAGTTCCCTTTGAGTACAAAATATATAGGAATCACTAAACGGATTAGGCTAATTACAAATTCTGTTCATTTTTAAATAACTCACAACTGCAAGAAGTCTTTTCACAGAATTATTCAGTCACATAGTTTCTCACTATCCTTGGGTAGGTATTTCTGCTATATTTCAAATCCTGATTCAAAATAATATCCCTCCCATTTCCATGTTTTTATAAGTATAAAATATTTTGAAACAAAGAAATGTCTGTTCCTTAGCTAGAGAACTATTCGCCTATTTCATCCTCTACCTCAAAAACACAAAGTACGCCCAAACAATTCAATTCCTAATGTAGTCGCATAGAACCCAGGGCCTGAAACACTACTTCAAGCTAGTTTTCTTGCTATATGCTGAGGACAATTTAGTGATTGACATTATTAAGAAATCTATGTAACAGGCTGGATTCATTCCAGTGCTTCCATCAGCAGAGGCTCTCTAAAAAAAGCGAGAGCATCTGCGAATGGGAACATTGAAGACTCTCCTCCGCCTCTTCCTCGTCATCTTCATCAGATTCGTCCATATCTGCTGTATCATCATTGTCTTCTTCCTCCTCCTGTTCTTCCTCTTCCATCTCTTCATATTCACCAGGACCCATTTCCAACTGAGCTATAGACACCCTGAATGTCAGACATGCCATATGGAATCAGGGAGTGGCGACGTTAAAGACCTTGTCTTTAAAGTAAAGCAAGTGGAAGGTATAATATCCTTCCATATATCCCAATGTTGTAGAGAATGTGGTACAACTTGTGTATTCATATACCCGACCAGGGCTGATGACTGGAAATTCACCAACTACTCCACGTCCTTGAACTTCTTCTACATCACCTTTAGCATTTGTTATTCTCCGATAGTACTGTCCAACTGACAGGCCTTCTCGGGAAGTGCATCCTTTGACATTTCAATCCTGATTCAGTACGTGAAGAAATAGTGGAGTGGATGTACACAGCTCAGTTCTGGCAGAAACGATGTGAAAACTGAAACTGTAATATCCCCAGTTGTTGCTACACACTCTGGATCATAAACACATCTGAAAATTTGGTCTCTGATGATTGGGAAGCCACCTGATACAACACTGTTGAAATAGGAAGTGAACCAGTCAGTAAAAGTAGCACCTATGATAAACATGTCAATAGCAGCTGGATTCCGAGCCATTTGGTCTGGACATTGGTAGAAAACTTCATTTTTGTTTCGGCCGTCTGCCGCTTCCACTGCTATGTACTGACTCAAACCAATATGTATGCAAAAAGTTAAAAGGAGACAGTATTTCAGTCCCTGTCTCTGCCAGAAGCCTCCAGCAGCCGTATCGACATCTAACAAATTCTCAGAACAATAGTGATTAGACAGCACCATACTTCCCAACAACCCGGGAACCACTAGCTTCTGCCCATTGTGGGTACGATATGAACATCGATAATCATCAGGAAGCTTGCAACCAATTTGAGCTTCCACAGCATCTAGGTCTTCCTCTTGAGCACCCTCTTTCAGAGACAAAACCATCCGAGGACATCTGGGCTCCAGATATTTCTTGAGATCATTCCAGGCCTTTATAACGGCAGCATAATGATCAATGTATTGTCCAACATCAGAGTAAGTATCAATGAAGAGAGATTTCCAACACTGATTCTTCTGTGCTTTCTCTTCCTCAGATATCAGCCAGTATTTTTTGCAATGTCTTCTCCAGCGGATCATGACTTGAGAGCTGGCTAAGTCTTCGACTGACATAGCAACAATTGATTAGGTCCCGGTTGTCCAAGAAGGATAAGATGAGCAGCGGATCGGTAGGCAGCGATTCTAGGGTCAGAGGTGCCAACTCCGTCTCCCATTTTGAGTTTTGACAAATGTAGTTTTCACCACAATCAAGATATAAAATATTTCCATCACTCCCGAACTGTGCATCTTTGCAGTCAATCCACTCACCCCACCCCTACGCCCCTGGAAACCATTGATTTCCTTTCAATCACTACAGTTTTGCGTTTTCTAGAATGCCATATGAATGGACTGATACTATACATAGTCTCTTTTGGTCCAGCTTCTTCCATTTAGCATAATGATTTTAAAAGTCATCCTTGTTGTTGCTTACATCAGTTCATTCCTTTTTAAATGACCAATGGTCCACTGTATGGCTAAACCACAATTTGTGTATTCATTGACCAGTTGATAGACATTTGGTGGTTTCCAGTTTGGATCATTATGAATAAAGCTGCTATGAACACTCATGTACAAGTCCTTATGGGGACATACGTTTTCATTTTTTCCTGGCAAATATCTGGGAGTGGAATTGCTGGGACAAACAATAATTATATGTTTTATATGTATCTGTTTTTCTAAAATGGCTGTACTATTTTGCATTTCTGCCAGCAATGACTCTGTTTCAGATGCTCCACTTGGATGCTGTCACTTGGTGTTGTCAGATGTTAAAATTTTAGCTACTCTAGTGGATGTATAGTGAATGGCATCTCATTATGACTTTAGTTTGCATTTTCAAAATGACTTATGATGTTGAGACTCTTCAATGTGCTTATTTGCCTTTGGATATCTTCTTTGGCAAAGTGTCTGTTCAAATCTTTTGCCCAGTTTTGTTTAATTTCTTATTTTGTTAAAAGAGCTTTCAATATATTCAGAAACAAATCCTTTACCAGATACGGTTCTGCCAGCCTGTGGCTGCTGTTTCCATTCTCTTAATAATGTCTTTTCAGGAGAAAAGGTATTTCATTTTAATAAAGTCCAAATTACCATTTTTTTCTTTTATGGTTCATGCTTTTAGTATCTTATCTAGGAAATCTTTGCTTAAACCAAGGTTACAGTGTACAGGTATTTCACATAATTTATTAATATTTTTACCAACTATTTGTTAATTGATGCTATTGTTTTTAAATTTCAATTTCAAACTGTTCATTGCTGGTGACATTTAATTCAGACATTTAATTTCCTGATCTAGTTGGCTTTTTTAGCAATTTATGAATTGGAAAACATCCAGTCTATAAAATAGAAAGGAGCTTCTAAGAGTTGTACAAAGTGAGAGGGTTTCATAGACCAAAGTGAGCAGGAGCAAGTTATACTGAGCATTTGTTAATTGGTTAAAACAGGATCATTTTCATTATATGGAGCACAGGGAAGTCTTGGAGCTGTGTTAGGTAACTTGTGCTATGCAGGCAAGTGCTGATTGGTTGGCACAGGCCTATGTTTTCTAGGACAGCTGATCATAGAAACGTAGTTAAGTTTCGGTTTGCTGACATGGGGCTTAGCATAAGCAACTCCATCTTGGGCCTAGTCTGGACATTTTAACACTAGTATATATATATATATATATATATATATATATATATATATATATATATATATATATATATATATATATGTTTGTCGGAAAAGTTGTGAAGTAGTTTTCCTATGTTTTTCAAAGGTCATTTATTTATATAAAGAACAAAGATCAATCAATGATATATTGTACGTTTTGTTCGATAACTTTTTGCCATCTTTCAGTGAGCTTCATAATTCCTCGTTCATAGAGGGACCTGTCTTTATCAGTGAAAACTGAACAAGTGCTTATTTACAGCCTCATCTGAATTG